AAGATGTTTTGCTGGGTCCGAGACGTCGAGCATAGGACGCCCCGTCGAACCGTCCAATAAACTGAATCGTACCAGAAAGTAATTCTAATAAAGATTCTTCCGAACAAGGCTCAAATTTTTAATTTATTAGTTTAGTTCGTTGCATCACTGCCGTTTGTCCCGGCGGAGGCGATCTTCAGACGTTCTGTCCGTCTGAAGCAACAGAGCGTGTTGGACGATCCAAGTTCATTCAGACGAACTCAACTGAGCCAGACGTCGATCTTTTCATGAACTTAACTCACTAAGTGTTCGTCTCATGAAAAGTTCGACGTTTGGCCCTATACTAGGCCTAATGGACGATATCTAAGTTCAGAGAAGCAAAAAGAAAAACGGTCGCTGTCTTGTGTTCATACTCCATTAAAACGTGAAGGAAGTTTCACGTTGTAGTCGTTCAAAGACGGCAAAGAAAAGTACAAAAAATTGTGATGCACGTGCAAAGTTGTTATTATGCTTATCTAAGCCGCTATTGGCTTTTTTGCCGTTTTCGTTGCCGTCGCCGAAGTTGTGGCTTATGCCTGCTACATTTAAGCTCCTCGGGCGCTTTGAGTCTAGAGTTTGAACCACTGAAAATTATTGCTGAGGCACGAGTTGACGATTACTCAACTTGTAGAACCATCTTGCACACCTTCTCCGGGGGCGTTCATATATAGAGAACATTGAGCGCAAAGAGAAAGAAAATCAGCGCGGGGGGCTTCTTCTTTTTTTCCCACTCTCTAATTTTGCGCCTCTCCCCTCTATCTGAACGTCTCGGCAAACAGTATCGCGGAAAAGCACTGCTCACACACAGTACCTCTTCAACAGTCAAAACTGCTAGAACTGCACTTTCAGCGGTCAGTGGACCAAGCTGGCGTGTTGTAATTATTTTAGTTAAAGCTTTCTTTTATTCATGTAAATTTTTCACTTTTTTTGCTGACCTTAAGCCATTTAAGCCCCTGGCTTTGGCTGTTCTCATGTATTTTTCCTGGTGTGTGATGTGTAGTAAAGTAAAAGTTAAAGTTAAGTTAAGTTCTCCAGAACAGGCCTATCGCTTCTGGAAGGAACCAACACGGACTGATTTATGTGATCGGCAAACCTAACACATGTGGTTATTTCACGTCAGTTGAAATCTTTTCAGTGAGAAGTACTTTCTTAAAATCGTCTATTTACAAACCAATAGTTTTGGTGTTTCCTTAGTGCCAAATGCTTTGTCTGCTTAAAGAGCACCTGGGTGGCAAATGTTGAATGAATAGTCTGACCGCCTGTTAACATACATGTATATTGCCCGACAATACCGAATCTTCGATGATCGATGAGCTATGACCTGCTAAATTACTTATCGCTTTCTTCTACATTTGATTAGTTTTCATTAGATCTTGATCCACGTACGCTGCACATGACTGGTTTCATGTCATCGCCATCGGCACTTTCTTTCTCTTTACGGAAATGTTTTGGGTTACGGACTATTGATAAGGTCAAGAACAAAGCCGGAAACACAAGGCATAAAATTGTGGTTGAACGTGCCTTAACGCTAAGTTGGCATTCAAGGCACGCGACATTTGGGGTCATGCACGTGAAAGAATTCAAAAGTACACTCTGCTCATGTCATGTCACCCTAGCGTTTTTCTTACAAACAAGATTCAGGTATCCGCGCAGCGCAGCTGAAAAATGGAGGACTTTATACTTGGACGCAAGATCAGGAGAATTGTTTGTATCAAAAAATGGCCGAACACGGAAATACCGTTAAGTTCACTGCACCTGTTCAAATTAATAATTCTTCTACCTTTTGGCTAGCTGTCTGTCTTTAGTTTATTTTGCGTCGGCTTGCATAGCAGTCTGACTTGTCCCTTTTCTGAATCAAGAGTCGGTATTGCGCGCGTGTGAAGAAAAGGAAGAGGGGGAGGAGAAAGCAAGGTCCCTACCCCTTCCCCGCAACCTTTCACTGCTCCCTCGCGTTCGTTTTCATTCCCTAGAGGAATAAATGCTACGCAGATCAGCGTTTTTAATTGTTAGGCTCCTATTTTCATACTACGCTTGTTCTAAAAAAAAAGACATATTACAAATATATTCTCTCCCTAAACGGTCTGTTTGTTTTGGAGGGGAAAGTGTACATCCCAACCAGGAGCTAAAAACCCTTATTCTGAACTAAACTCTGTACTAAAATGAGAGAACGGGATTCGCTTTTTAGTGTGCGCTCTAAGAGCAGGCATGGAAGGAAGGTAGGAAACAAGACAACGAAAAAAGGGAAGTAACCTATTTTTCGCGCCAGTAACCCTGTGGTTTTGTTTCTGCGTTTCCTTTGCCGGCCACTTGCCAGTGTACAACCGACTTGCGGTGTGGCTTGCGGCGGCTTTGGTCACGAACAGGCAAAGAGGGTTTGGGAAGATGATGTGTCACTTCCCTTTTCACTGGTCACGAAAATATTTGTGCATAAACAAACTAATCCCATTTCCATTCATGGATTTAGCTAGCCTAATTAAATCTATTTTCTTAACATGATTCTAGATTGCCAGCCAGTAGATTGACGTGTCATAAGAAAAATCTGCACGTGTTCTCGGCGTTTCAATCTAATAATCATGACTATATTGCTAAGACCTCCCGCTGGCCAATTGATGGCCAGTCATACTGCATACTTATAAAGATATAAATAACCTTGTCATGAAGGAATAAAAATGGACAAATTAAAAAAACACACGCGATCTGTGTTTTAAAGTATAAAGATACTGATTCTCCGGTTCAAAAGGAAACGCTTAATTTGGATAAAATAAAGAACAAGTCTTGATTTATTTTAGCTCATGTGGAAATCTGGGGATGAAATAAACCACTTTTTTTTAATTATGGTAATTCGTTTTCACTTATAAGACTTCCAGACAGCCTTAAGGCAGGAAATTTCGCACAGTTTAATCCAGCTTTACACGATAATCAATTTGATACACATTTGCCGACACCAAAGTCATTTTCATCTAGCATTTTTTTTATGAGCACTCAGTGTTATTTAATTTTTTCAGCCCACGCACGTATCTCGCACAGATACTATGACGTCAGAATTATAAAGAGAAGGTTCTTTAATAAGAATAAAGATAGTTTCCAGAGTTTCCATACATTGCGTACGTGATTCAGTTCTCTGCACCGCCCAGTTTCTGTAAGAAGATCAGTTACAGCCTATTAACAGCCTAGATACGGATGAGTGTTCCTATCTTAACCTTTTGATCCCCAGATCAAATTTAAGAATATTCTCATATTTAATTTTTATAAAAAAAAAATGAAAAATAGCCCTAAAAGGAAATTACTATATTGCTAAAGAGGTTCCACTCCATACGATTTCGTCCACAGAATTCAAAGGGACTATGTCGGCGGATACTGCTAATTTAGGTCAATTTATAATGCATTATCCCATAACGCGCCGCATGTACTATATTGAAGTTCGAACTTTCGGGGCTGAGGAGTTAAAATCAACACTTGGCTGGCCCAACCTATAATAAGTCCATAATAGCGCCTTCGTACGTACTTACAGAGTTTAGGCACGCGCACCTTTTCCATGGCTATAACACCAGAAGCCGTGATTTGCTGCGCCCTCCCTTTGCAAAAACTACTAAATACCAAGGTAGCTTCAGAATAAACGGTGCTCGGACCTACAACACCCTACGGAGAATCATGAGTCAAATAGAGAAGCTCAGCGAATTTACAATCAAGCTAAAGCGCAATTTTAAACAGTAACCGCCTGCGGTACATGTTGCCTTTGTAACTTAATTAATTGTCTAGTTTTAATGTCTTTGTTTTTGTGTTGTGTCAAGGCTCCGTTTAAACTAGCTCTGCTAAATTGGATGCCCCTAGATAAATATTGATTAGAAAAAAAAANCTATCTTAACCTTTTGATCCCCAGATCAAATTTAAGAATATTCTCATATTTAATTTTTATAAAAAAAAAAATGAAAAATAGCCCTAAAAGGAAATTACTATATTGCTAAAGAGGTTCCACTCCATAGGATTTCGTCCACAGAATTCAAAGGGACTATGTCGGTGGATACTGCTAATTTAGGTCAATTTATAATGTATTATCCCATAACGCGCCGCATGTACTATATTGAAGTTCGAACTTTCGGGGCTGAGGAGTTAAAATCAACACTTGGCTGGCCCAGCCTATAATAAGTCCATAATAGCGCCTTCGTACGTACTTACAGAGTTTAGGCACGCGCACCTTTTCCATGGCTATAACACCAGAAGCCGTGATTTGCTGCGCCCTCCCTTTGCAAAAACTACTAAATACCAAGGTAGCTTCAGAATAAACGGTGCTCGGACCTACAACACCCTACGGAGAATCATGAGTCAAATAGAGAAGCTCAGCGAATTTACAATCAAGCTAAAGCGCCATTTTAAACAGTAACGCCTGCGGTACATGTTGCCTTTGTAACTTAATTAATTGTCTAGTTTTAATGTCTTTGTTTTTGTGTTGTGTCAAGGCTCCGTTTAAACTAGCTCTGCTAAATTGGATGCCCCTAGATAAATATTGATTAGAAAAAAAAAACGACCAGAAGAGTCATGAAAAATATATCAAACAAATTCCATCAGGGAGCACTAACCATAATATTTTTTGGAGGTGACTTTTACAGGCATACCATTGAAACTTGAAAAGGTTAACCCAATCTTTTCAAGTTTCAATTCATATCCATCATTCTCCTCCGTAGCAACAGACGACAGGCCATAATATCAATGCTTATAAAAGTCTTAAAAAAATCAAATCTGAGCCATTACTTTTTTGAATTCAAGTAATGCGAAGACACGTTTTAACTAACAAATAGCGTGACACTTCTTTTTCCCTTTATTACTGAGAAACTCCCGAGTAGAAGTGAATGAAGCCTGGACCGAGTTAGTTGCGCGAAAACAAAATGGCGGAAAATTTGTCCAGTCGACATTTTTGACAAATTTCCTTCACATGAAATTTCCAAAAATTCTGATCATGTAATGGCGATTTTCCTCGTTGGAAAATGGTATTTTCTGTGCGAATCGTCAACAGTGATTTCTATATCGCAGCTCCGATCCCTGATCTCGATGTCTGTAATTCCACCTTTCGTGAAACTGCCATCAGCAAGGTTCCTATTATTCGTGTTTATGGCGCTACTCCAAGTGGACAAAAGACGTGTTTGCACGTTCATGGCGTCTTTCCGTACATATATGTACCGTACGATGGAACTCAACCATCTGACAAGTACATGAAACAGCTTGCCGTCAGTGTGGATTTTGCAGTGCAAGTCTCACTTGGTAAAGCTTCTTCTTCGCGACAACACGTCTACGAAATTTCCCTGGTGAAGGGAATGTAAGTGTATTTACTCTTCGATATTATAGTTAAGTCTCCTTAAAAAGTAAACAACATCTAAAAAGCCCCTGAAAAAGCAAAGACTTGTTCTTTACATGTATAGACGATGTTTGTGACTCTGATTGATGTAGATCGCGCCGGGAGGTCGTCCAAATGTAAAAGGAGTCCAGATTTCGGAATTTGGTAAAGTTTTGCTTGTGGAATCCGGAATACTGGGCTTTGGAATCCGGAATAAGGCTCAAGCACTCCGGAATGCCACTTAAGATTGTAATCCAAAAATATTTATGTTTTATTGACAAAGACTGTAATCCAGTACCTGGAATCCGGAGTCCTTGGTGTGGAATCATGTATCCACATAGGACTTTTGTAATGACTGTCCAAGAGTAGATTTTTCTGTTGTCTTTATTACCACTCCCCGGCTGTCATTTAGGTTTTAAGTAGCTGGTTTCTTGGAGAAAGTAGCTGCTCATTTATCCCCCAAATCCTCTTTAATTTATAATGTTTTTCTCATTTTCAAACTTAGAGTTTCTGGATATTTAATGCAGTTTGCGGCTACTAATGACAGCCTACTAATGACTCAGCACCTAAAAAACCATACCCTATTCCATGACACATACCTATATCGCTGTCACAAGAGAGTACCCATTCCCTTCCCTCCTGCATCCCCTGACACAAAAGTACCTGCTTTATGCATCAATAGGCCATTTGCACTAAGAGGCATGTGACATCGTTTTTTGAAAATGAAAGTTATATGATTTTGCCTTCGAAAAACGATTAGTGGGTCATATCTTAAATAAAATAATAGTGATTTGGTTTTTCAAACCCGCACCACTTTCTTAAAATGAGTAAGTTCGTAAATGGTCATGTGACCAAAATGTGACTTTTAAAATTATGAATTACCTCTCTCTGAACACACATTTTGCACTTAAACTTCAAGGAAAATGTTGAAAAGATGATGTGATAACGTTTGCAGCACATCTGAGCGTAACTATGAAACGTTGAACAAGATATAAGCAAGAAGTAGTTTTGGCCGCCATGTTGGAGGGTAAAAGCAAGCATGCCCTCCAACATGGCGGCCAATACAAATCATACTACTTTGCTAAAAAATCAAAGTGCCATAAAATATCTCCCTTAAATGCGTTTCCTCTCAAATTTCGTTGTGAGATAATTTTTGTGTGCTCTAACAATTTTTGGCATCAGCAAGATTCCAACTCATTGTTTAAAGGAAGCATTGGTCACATGACCTCTTAGTGCAAGACGCCTATATCTTTATTTATGAGAAAATATGGGAGAAAAAGTTTAGGGCTGATACTTTTGTTGCTTTATAGACGGTGACCTTTTAATCTGGGGTGCTCTTTAATCTACAGAGGTTTCACTGATCATTGTCTTGTCTTTATCTTATAAAAAGAGTGCATTTATAAGTGGACAGAGAGCTAGATTGGTCAAGCATGATTTGGCAAATGGCAGAAGCACTCTCTGTTCATGCTTGGGTGTAATAATAAAAAAAAGAATACATCAAAGGATTGTATCTTTTCAAGAAACACTTCACCCAAATAAGCTGTATGTAATATTTGAACTTTATAGCAACAATTCCAGTTTTTTTTTCCAACATGGTGAATGTTATTTGATTTGTTGTTTTATTAGTAAACCAAACATTAATAGCAATAGAAACTTTAAAAAGTCTTTGTTACTCTGTATAATGTTTAATTTATTTCTGAATTTTAGACCTTTCTATGGTTATCATGAAGGAGAAAGGGACTTCTTAAAGATCTCCTTATACAATCCATTTTTAGTAACCAGGTTAGTGAGTCCTTAGTTCGTACATGCATCTTATAAAGTGAACAAGGTGCTGTAGTCATAACTCTACTGTGTATGTACATTGTTTTGTGTTTCTTTGATTTTAGGGTTGTTAGCCTCCTTCAGAATGGTGCTGTTATGAATAAGGTTTTTCAACCTCATGAAGCTCACATTCCCTATCTTTTACAGGTAAATTAGCATATTATTAATTACCGAATACTTAATAATAATAATGATAATGATAATAATAAATATATAATACTTAATGAACTTATTGTGTCCAACTTAACATAAGAATGATCAGCTTCACATTACAACCACATTACTTTACAAGAAACAGATAAGAGATAATGTAAAATACAAAAAAGATGAAAAAATAAAAATATAAAAAAAAGCATATACATGTATTAAGTAAGTAAATAAGATAAAGTTCTTCACAGATATACAGTTCTAAAAAGATAACTAGATATTATTGAATGAGGCTGAGTAGGATATGAAGAATTCTGCCGATTGATGAGAATCCGGAGAATGTCCGGCCAAAAACGGGATTTGTCCGGTCAAATCCATGGATGGGTGGACATTTTGTCAGGTTGTTTTGAGCTAAGTTTGACATTTTGCGGTTAAAAAGGGGGAAAGATAGAGATAAATATTCATAACTGCATTGACTTCGAGGCTGCATGTACAATAAAAGTGTCAAAAAAGGAACTTGTAGAAGTATGACATAATGGATACTTGTCCAGCCCCAAAACAGGTTGTTTTGCGAGCAAAAATAGGCTTAACTAGACAACTTGACTGGGGCCAGCCAGGAAATTATTCCAAGCTCTGCTGTCAGCAATGACGGTGGCGATGTTGATAAGAATGGCAAAAAAGCAATAGGTTTAGATTGGCAAAACAACAACTTTGCATGTGCATCACCCTTTTTTGTACATAATCATCCAGGTCATCTTTCTATGGCCTTTCAAAATATAATATGTTCAGGTGGTTGATTACCTCTGTGGGGGAATTGAAGTGATCACAATAATAATATTTTCTGAATAGAACTATGGTCTATCTGGATGATAGACCAGATCCAGGATCATGAAAATTTGTAACTGATCATACACCGTATGGAAACCACCCTTAGACAGTTAAAGTGATCAGGGAGATCAGGATCTATCCTAAGTTTCATCATTTTCCCAGATTTCAATTCATACAAGTAAATTCATATGATTATAATTATGGAAACTACGCTTTTGAGTTATAATTACTCCTTACAGTGGTAAACTTCACCACGCTTTAAATCCCAGGTAGGACAGGCATTCCTGTAACAGAACATATTCACACACAATTTCAGGTCATGTGTATTAAAGCCAATGAAACCACAGTTCCCCCAGTGTGCCTATCATTGTACATGCTTGTGCACTAGTTATTCCACAGGTATCCCAGCTAAATCTGGGGAGGTGCCTGATGGGATTTTTTTTTCCATTTCCAGTTTTTAATGGACTACAATCTTTATGGAATGAATCTACTTCATGCATCAGCAGCAAAATTCCGAAATCCTGTCAGGCTTGTGGATGGTGATGGTATGTAGATTAAGAATTTAGGAGCAACTACATGAAGTTAATTTTTTTATTTCTAATAAGTGGTAGCCCCACCTAAGTGGAAGTTAAGTGTTTATTGCAATCAGCACAATGAACCAGGTAAAAATATTTTTGTAGCTAGTATAGGCACTTCCTATCCTTTAAAAGTCATTTCTCTTTTCTAGGAGAGGCTATAACGGTGAAGTCCCTTGCTGAAACCCAGAGGGTTAAGTCTCCAGTAACTTTTTGTGCAACTCCAAATCAAATGTGGAATGAAGATACTGTGCCAAGGTAAAGTGTGAAGTGGTGTACAGTTATGCAAATATTTAGCACAAGGAATGTGGTGAATAAGGAACTGGAATGGGAAATTTTATAATTTCTTGTAGCTACTGGAATAATGTTATAGACTGCTAGTGGTTACTGGTACTTACTGTTTCAATTGCAAACAAGTAAAGCTAATCTGATGAATAACTGGCATCCATATGACTGTAACTTTACTTGGTCTAAAATCAGAGAATTGCACAAAGATGTCTTAATCAATTAATTAGCAGCAAAAATAGAAAATAAAGGAATTCCCGTGATCACAGCCAAATGGTAGATATAACAACTGAAATCATTCAATTTGTGAAACAAAACTTGCAGTTGCCTTACACTCTGTTAAGGTAAAAAAATCAAAGACAAAATTTAACAATTTATTATCAATAGTTTTATTCAAAATCAACTTTGAATCAACTTACTTCTTAGCAAGTTTCTTAAATGTCCTTGCTCTGAATAGGAGTGTAATTTTGGGTGGGAGCTAAATGTAACAGTGAACACTTTGATCTTTTCAGGGCCACTGTTAGCAAATACTAAACTATTATGGGCATGTACCTTTTTCCTACTAATGTCAGCTTAAAGGGACAAGTTCATGGTTCAGTGCATGCTCGTTAATCAAAATGCTTTTTTTCTGCCAGGACATGCTGTATTGTCTATAAAAGCAATATGATCATGTCATAGTGTTGTCAAAGAACCAATCTGCACACTCCCCTGGTAGTCACTTGATTAAATTAGGTGCAAATAGCTGTAAATTAATCAACCATGGAATAAAACCTTCGGGTCAACAATAAATTCAACATTGGTAGTGTTGGCATAATCCACTAATTTTCCTGCGATTTTAGCACTCCTTCATCCCACTTCAGGTTACTCTGAAATACACTTCTACTTTGAAATACACTCTGAGATTGCTGAGATACATGTGAAAGGAATTATTAAGCGATATAATTAATGAGCATGCACTGAACCATGAACCTGTCCCTTTAAACTTAAATTCTTCGGATTTTATAATTCATAGACTTTGTTAACACCGATTTGTTATAATTTAATGAACATATTTTTGTTGCACTTCTAAATGCAGAAGTTAACAAAAATCCCAACCTAAAAGCATGAGTTTTTGACCCGGCTACATAATACAACATATCTTATTATAGGAAATTAACGAGAGATGAAATTAGCAAAAATTTTAAAAGTTTGCATTAATTTAAGTTTGCATTAATTTTTGTAAATGTTAATCTCTGCACCTCCATTAATTAAGTGGACCATTAACTTCCACGACCTTAATGCCATTTATTTTACCCCAAATTCTCGATACAATTTTGACATTCTTGACACTTAAGAAAGAGGCGTATTTTATCAGGGTGCAGACCCATCAGTATCAGTGAAACTGTGAAGAACCCTTAGAGTGGCCAGATTTCTTGGCTTGACCCCCTTCGCAAAATTAGTGAAAGTACTACAAACAAAGTTTCCATTTTGGGATTATATGTTTAACTTTGTTCCTGCAATTTGTGCCTAGCCTAGCAACAGTGTTTATTGAATTCAAACCTGGGGTGGTCCATTCCCTAAAAGGTATATGTGGTACTAAGGAGTATGATTTTTGAACTCTTTGAAAAAATTGGGTATAGATTTTATGAATAATCCTTGTGTTCTGAAATAGAGTACACTTTTTTGTTTTATTCATCTCTTGCTTGGGCTGTGCTTTTTATTTAAAGCCCTTCTCAGTTGTTAATGTACATTGGCATTCCTTGTACAACAGTTGTTGAAAAGCTGGGATTTCAGTCAGTGTCTGTGTGTTGCAATGCTTTAGTCTGAAAGAAGCAGTCCAATTTTGGTTAAGCTCTAAAATATTTAGCTTATTTTGCTGCGCACCCACCAACCCAATTTTTAGGGAGTACCTGGCCCCCCTGCCTGATTCATACTTTAGAATTTGAGCATTGTTTGAAAGTGCTTAAAGATCATTCTTAATCCAACAACTTTAATCATATGGTGTGAAGGGCAAAAAGTTGTTAGCATCTCAGGAGAATTAGCCTGCATGCAGATATCTCCCTGTAGGCAAGCTACACATGCAGAAGATTCCCTGTAAGCAGGCTACAAGAAAATAAATTTGCATGGCCATATCCTTTGTTATTTTAATCTTGCTGACTTTTACAGGGAATGGATTTTAGGACCTGAAGTAGAAAGAGTCAGTTTTTGTGAGTTGGAAGTTGATGTTCTGGCCTCTGACATCCTTAACAAGCAGCAAATAGGAGGTGCATTTTGTCTTATGAGATGGAGACAGTTTACTGTAAATTTATTGAACTTTGTGAACAGCTTGAGACTTGAGCACAAATCCTTACATACTTTGCTCATTTTTATGTATTTTTTCGACTGTTGTTTACTGATAATGTTCTGTTTTTATTCTTCAAGCAATTCATCGTGCCATTAAAGTTCTGATAATATTTCATGACTTTTGACCCTTTATCTCCTGGTAATCCTAACTGTGTTATCTTTTTTTGTAATATTNTAATTTTTGTAAATGTTAATCTCTGCACCTCCATTAATTAAGTGGACCATTAACTTCCACGACCTTAATGCCATTTATTTTACCCCAAATTCTCGATACAATTTTGACATTCTTGACACTTAAGAAAGAGGCGTATTTTATCAGGGTGCAGACCCATCAGTATCAGTGAAACTGTGAAGAACCCTTAGAGTGGCCAGATTTCTTGGCTTGACCCCCTTCGCAAAATTAGTGAAAGTACTACAAACAAAGTTTCCATTTTGGGATTATATGTTTAACTTTGTTCCTGCAATTTGTGCCTAGCCTAGCAACAGTGTTTATTGAATTCAAACCTGGGGTGGTCCATTCCCTAAAAGGTATATGTGGTACTAAGGAGTATGATTTTTGAACTCTTTGAAAAAATTGGGTATAGATTTTATGAATAATCCTTGTGTTCTGAAATAGAGTACACTTTTTTGTTTTATTCATCTCTTGCTTGGGCTGTGCTTTTTATTTAAAGCCCTTCTCAGTTGTTAATGTACATTGGCATTCCTTGTACAACAGTTGTTGAAAAGCTGGGATTTCAGTCAGTGTCTGTGTGTTGCAATGCTTTAGTCTGAAAGAAGCAGTCCAATTTTGGTTAAGCTCTAAAATATTTAGCTTATTTTGCTGCGCACCCACCAACCCAATTTTTAGGGAGTACCTGGCCCCCCTGCCTGATTCATACTTTAGAATTTGAGCATTGTTTGAAAGTGCTTAAAGATCATTCTTAATCCAACAACTTTAATCATATGGTGTGAAGGGCAAAAAGTTGTTAGCATCTCAGGAGAATTAGCCTGCATGCAGATATCTCCCTGTAGGCAAGCTACACATGCAGAAGATTCCCTGTAAGCAGGCTACAAGAAAATAAATTTGCATGGCCATATCCTTTGTTATTTTAATCTTGCTGACTTTTACAGGGAATGGATTTTAGGACCTGAAGTAGAAAGAGTCAGTTTTTGTGAGTTGGAAGTTGATGTTCTGGCCTCTGACATCCTTAACAAGCAGCAAATAGGAGGTGCATTTTGTCTTATGAGATGGAGACAGTTTACTGTAAATTTATTGAACTTTGTGAACAGCTTGAGACTTGAGCACAAATCCTTACATACTTTGCTCATTTTTATGTATTTTTTCGACTGTTGTTTACTGATAATGTTCTGTTTTTATTCTTCAAGCAATTCATCGTGCCATTAAAGTTCTGATAATATTTCATGACTTTTGACCCTTTATCTCCTGGTAATCCTAACTGTGTTATCTTTTTTTGTAATATTAAGATTATTTTGTATATAGTAATTTTAAATCAACTGATTTAATTTTTAGTCAATCTTGGCACCAACCCTGGCTTGGCTGCTATCTGGGAAGATGAACAGCAGCGACGTCGGGATGCAAATGAGTCTTCACAGATATCAGGTCCATCATCACAGGGTTAGTATTTCATGTGTGTGTTAAATAAATAAATAAATTAATTAATTAAGAAATACTCAATAATACTACGCTGCCCTATGGGACTTTTCAGGTTTAATATAACAAATAATTCAAATAGGGTTAAGAATCCCAAGTGGCAGAACTCAAGTGCTAGTATATTTTTGTTTGTGTTAAATAATAAAAATACATAAATAAATGTAATATAATGTAATTGAAATGTAGTTCCAGGCTTCAGAGGCTATGCATTGCTTTATTGCTACAGCTATCTGTTTCGTATGGTCTAAAGGCAACCGAATAAAGTCATGTATAGCCTCTGAAGCTTGGAACTACATTTCATTTATATTATTTGTTGCTCCTGAAAAGTTGAACACTCTTCGAAAGTTATTCTAACCAGTTCAGAAAATGTAAACAAAATATATTTGTAAATGAATGAATTAATAAATAAATTAGGTAATTAATTAATACTCAATTAATACTACCCTCTGCCCTGATGTGGCTTTTCAAGGTTAATAAAACTAATTTTAAGAATCCCAAGTGGCTTCAAAAATTTTTGGTCACAGTGGGAAACTGACTGACCATGGCTATTAATGTTTGACGACTAGATTTCATCTTGGATGCTAGATCTAAAAAGATAGTTATTCAACGGGCAAACTACTTTAGTAATTAATTTTGGACCCTGGGCAGTGACAACTCAGCTAGTTTTATGGGTTGTGGGGGTGGATGGGGAGGGTATGTTTGATAGGACCTTTGATTTAAATTGCCGCCTGGTTAGCTCAGTTATGAGAGCGCTGGTCTGCCGAACAGGAGGTCGCGGGTTCAAACCCTGGCCAGACCAACACTCAGGGTCTTTAAATAACTGAGAAGAAAGTGTTGCCTTTGAAATGACATCTGCAAATGGTTAGACTTTCTAGTATTCTCAGATAAGGATGAAAAACTGTAGGTCCCATCTCACAGCACTTTCACTGATTTGTTCTTGTGGGATGTAAAAGAACCCACATCACTATTTGAAGAGAGTAGGGGTCGTAGATTCCAGGGGTGTGGTCAACCTTTATGGGTTGTGGGATTGGGTAGGGATGGCACCTTGCATGGGACCTGAGTCCTGTTCGTGCACATTCCCTCTGGGCAGGCCTGTGTCCAGAAAAGCTGGTAAATGAATGAATAAATAAATGATTCCCATTTGTTCCTATCGCTATTGGGCAGGTCTTTGTGGGCCCAGTAAAATTGGTAAAGTAAAATAACTTATTATTGTAATTACAGATAGAGGGCTGATTCAAGAAACTGAAACAGAGAGGAATTTGAAGCAAAGAATCAAGGAGATAATTGACGAGCGTGATCTTCTGATGTAAGGGAATGCAAAGTTCCTCAGTATTGAGGTTTCTTTGGGCCTTAAGTTTTACAAGGACCTTGATGTAACATCGACATGATACTAGCCTGCATAGCAAGTGTTTCCAATCAAGTTATTTCGTTAAATTTAGAGTGGGAACAAAAAAAATGGAAGGGGGAAGGGGAGGAAAGAAGGAGGGGGAGGGGTTTCCCTTTCTCCCCTCCCCCTCCCCCTCCCCATCTTCCTCTTTTTTTTTCGCACTCGCTTCGCTCGCCCAAATAGAAGAGCTTGCTCACAGGCTAGTCTCAACTTGACAAACTCACGTGGAAACGCTTGCTAGCAGGCTAACATGATATCGACGTGATACAACTCACTTTGACTCTGAAGATGTACCTCACAGATTGCTAATACACCAGTCCCTGTAAATAACACTCCTATTCAGGACCACACTCATACTCCACCTACTTGAGAAATGACTCCTGGGTTCAAACCATTCACTGATTTACATATAATGTAACATTAAAACCTGGATTGAAAGGATCACAAAGCTCTCCCTACTGGGCTTATACAACTTTTTTTATACAACAGGGCTTAAACCCTGGGCTTATACAACTTTGTAAGGGAGTTTAGGAGGGCTTATAAATGGAAGGGGAGGCTTATATACAGGGGACTTGTAACTGGGGCTAATAGAGCGTTTCAAAACAAGCTACAAAGCAACGCTGAGCAGAATACTTTTTGAATTAACTCGCTTTTTTAAGCTTCAAAGCGTTGCTAATAATCGAATTCATTTCAATACAAGCTAGAAGGGGGCCTTATATCTTGAGGGGGGGGAGGGCTGGGCTTAAAACTGGATGCATTTTTGGTTGTTTACAGGTAAATGGGCTTATAACTGCAGGGTCTTATAAGTCGAAGTTTATGATAGTTTATCTTCATTCTTCACAGAGTACATCAAACTAACTTAAATGACCAGCCCCTAGTTGGCTTATGAGCTCAATTGGTAGAGAGTTGCACCAGTATCACAGAGGGTTGAATCCTGTTTACCTGAATTCTTAATCCTTTCTTTTTTGCAACTGCAAACATTGTGTCTAAAACTGCTATGCTGTACTTAGTTCCAATCAATTCATAAGACATAGAGCTCTGACCATTATAATGTGGACATGTTTGAAATGTGGATTGTGTTGTCGGTAATAAGGTTTGTAGAAAAAAAAATCAGATTGTGATTTGTTTACCCACAAAACATTTAGGAGTTCTTAAGAACTCGTTTTCATTTGTCAGTGCGTTCCAGATCGAATTGGAATATGGAAGTATTGGTTTTTTAAGGAGATGGGAAAAACGGAGTACCCAGAGAAAAACCTCTTGGAGCAAGGGAGAGAACCAACAACAAACTCAACCCACACATGGCGTTGGCGTTAGGATTCGAACCAGGGCCACATTGGTGGAAGGAGAGTACTCTCACCAATGACTACCCTTGCATATTTATGCTTGACTGTATGGGGTAATGGTAACACACATTTCTCAACTGGGCAACTGTATAGTCTTCAGGCACAAAAGCTTTTCTCTTGTCTGTACTAATTTTGTTCTCAGACAAAGTCAGATGGGAAAACTTGGACGAGGAGCATTATCTCCCCAGGAACTTGCCTCATTTCAAGATTCTATCTGCACACTGGCTGCTGCATCTCAGAAAGGATTGGCTGCTGATGATGACTCATTAGATGCTGATGTCATGTCACAGTTGCTGTCACAGCATGTTCAAGTGACGCTAGGGGAAGGTGCAGCAGCACAGTCATCCCAAGGTATGTAAATGTTAATGCATGGAAATAAAATTCTTGTACCCATCTCAAACTCATTAATTATTCATGCAGTCAAGAGTCAATAAATGACGACTATTTGGGTCAGGTGGATGACTCTTGATACCTAATGAAACAGTAGATAAAACACCACCATGTTTTCATCTGAGATCAAATTCTTGCATTTAAATAAGATGTTTTATTGATTAACACAACTCGTGGAAACAATGCAGTACCATGTCATTGCATAATTTCTTATTGCTTCATTTGAGAAAACATGTCAAAAACTCGCGCTTTGTTCTTCATCACGGGTTCCAAACACCTCGAAACACACTCGCCCTCGTTTTTGACATATTACATGAAACACGGATGAAATGCTATCAGGTGGATAAGTGTTGTGTTAACCAAAATTAGCGATGTTCATATTCTAGGACGAAGACGACTGGAGGACGAGATTTAACTTCAGGTTTTTTCGCGTCTTCTTAAAAAAAAGACACCCCAGAAAGCGTCATTGTACTTCTTTTAACCAGAAAAGTCAGCACGGTTATTTTTATTTAGGGAGGTTAAGCCTTCTCCTAATCGCAAAATGATAAAACGTCTTACATTTGATTACTTGTTTCTGTTACTACGACATTTTCGCTAAAACTTGTAGTAGAATGACGATGGCTATCACGTTTCCCCCCAAAATTACGCTGTTTCACGGGCGAGCACCACTTCCAGTATTGACAAAATCTCATTCTCGTAACCGTGCTTGTCTTAAGCCAAACGTCAAACTTTATGTACATTTAGTCTTGTTCGGGAGAAAATTTATTAAAATTGCTTTTTGGTGCGATTTAGTTTATTGGTTGACGCGTCCTAAGTTCGACGTCTGACCCAACAGACGATCTTAACTTAATTTAGGTCGACCCAAATTAGAGTTTGATTCGTCTCATGATGAGAGGTTCGACGTTTGACCTAAGCCCTACAATCTAAAAGTCTCTATTGTATGGCAAATGACAAATGACCCAGTGGTAAACGTACATACCCTTAGAACAACTGAGGCCTGATAAGGATGCGCCAAAACCTATGCCGGATTGTCCGGGACCGGTAGAAATTTTAGTTCGGACATGTAACCTTTGACATGACTTGTCCGTGGGACAAGCACGTTTTTAATTAGAACAAATAAAGAAACAGCTGAAAATTGTCTTCAAATTACGGTAGAATTAAAACTCATCTTAAAAGTCATAAAAGTAAACAATAAGGTTAAATATTCTTTTATCTTCGCCATTCCACGGTCATTTCATTTTTTTTTACGAGCTCCTTTTTAGGTTAAAGTCAAATTTACAATTTAGTGTGAGTAAAAACAAATAAAATGCCTGATTGTATTTGAGTGTCGAGTTTCGAGCTAAACTTTTCGGTCAAGAACTCTTGGGTTTCGGACAACCAAATTTAATATAGTGCTTGTCCGAAGGACTAGGACAAGTGAATTGGACAGTTTTTCCCCCTACTCTGCTGATTTCTGGAATTTTTTATTTATGAGATGGGATGAATGGGGTACCCGGCGAAAAATTCCTCAGCGTAGGGATGAGAACCAACAACAAACGACTTATGAACACTTGGACGTTTTCTTCGCTCTTGTTTGCAGTCATTGTTGATGAAGATGAACCCGTTGTCAATCAAAGTATTGTGCAAGAAGTCGTAGAAGCAAGCCAGATGTCCGTGTCACCAGAACTATGTAGGTTTGCTTAATTTTGCTCTACTTTATTAAGTTCAATCGTTCGTTATAGGTTCTTTTGTTATTCTCTTCTTTTTTGTTATAATGTGACAATTACTAACAAATGAAGATGAATGAAATTCAGCATTGAGCTCACATAATGCTAATTTGCGTCTCATCAAATAACAAAAGAATGGCAACACCCAACAGCACCCAACATCGCGTTTGTATGCGCGCAGACGAAAAACGAGGCTTCATCGCGCGCAGTAATTCACTCATTAGAGAAATTAAGAATTTCGTTTATGACAAACGGCAAACGGTAGATTCAAGTTGACAATATTCTCAAAATAGGGAGGGGAACAGATAGAAACTGTACTTATTGTTATGCACGAGCTTGACATGAAACTACCAATCTTTTTTGTAGAAATAATGAACAGGAAACTTAAAGTAGAGGGAAAACTTGGTCACCTGGTACAAATTGATGTTTGTTTGTTGTGGTAAAAGTGATTCTAAATCTCTCTATTGTATCAGCTAACGTTGTTTGAGCTTGCGCGGAGAGGAGATAGGAGACGAATTAGCGCACAGGTTACATCGCTCGCAGCATCGCACACAATGTCATAAGCAACATCGCGAACAACGTCGCCGTGTTATCATAAGCTACATCAAGCACAGCATTGCAGCCATTATCATAAGCAACATCGCACGCAGCATCGGACGCATTGTCATATAAGCAACATCGCACAAAACGCACCCATCATCATAAGCAACATCGCACGCATTATCATAAGTAATGCATCAGTCGATTCCACCTGCGCCCGGTCCCCCCCCCCCCGGGCAACTGCAGGGCATTTGCCCGCCTTGTCAGTCCCGGGGCCGGGCATTTGCCAACCCCCGGGCCAATCCCTAGTTTTTGACACGCACGCGGTTTCCTATCAGAATATAACTACAAAGACGGTTTTACTGGAAGAAAGGCAGATTGGCTCATTTGTCCAGGACAGGAATAAATTGTAGAGGGTTGTAACGGCATGTTTTCGATTTTACATGTATGTATGCATTTCTTCATTTTTTATCAAGCCAGAATTACGTAGCGAAATTGGAGCTATCGATGTGAATCAACGTTTTTTGGTTATTGCATCAAATTTCTGTTGATATTATTTGAAGAACATCCTTTCATATTTATAAAACTATTCATAACATATAACTTTACAGCGCTCTATTAATTTTAATGTCAATAATTTTATATCAATAGGAAAACCATAAACTGGTGCATGTCGTCGCGGCGTGAAGTCTTAATTAGAATCCTCGCGCTATTACAAAGGAAGACGTTAATTAAACCAAAAAAATTGCACATTAAAATGCTTAAAACGGCACTATTTGACTGTGCAATCAATAAAAAATGTTGCAGTGTTGACAGAGGACGGGGCATTTGCCGTCTTTTTTCGTCCCCACGCCGGGGAATTTGACAGCTCAAGAGTCCCCACTCCCGGGAATTGGTCATCCAAGGCAAAAAAAATGCTAATGCCCGGGGGTCAGCCCGGGGGGGGGGGGGCCTGGGCGCAGGGGGAATTGACTGATGCATAAATCGCGCAACGTCACATGCATTATCATAAGCATTATCGCTCCCAACATCGCACTCGTTGTAATAAGCATCATTGTGCTCGACATCGCACCCATAATTATAGGCATCATTGCGCGCAGCATCGCACGCGTTATCACAACAAACACTAAGCGCGCCCGTTTTGCAGTGTATGTCCACCTGCAAATTCTCGTAATTCTTTCAGGGCATGACACCCAATGGTGCTTCTATCCTTATGATTTTCATTTTTTAATTGTACTCAAACAAACCGGTGGCACCATGGAAATTGTGATGTACAGTTTAGGTATACTCATTTATGCAGAGTCTAACTTTTGTATATGTATTGTAGCCTCAACCATGGATAAAGAGATGATTAATATTTTGGCAAGTTTGGTAGAAGAGCCCACTCAGCCAGGCAGTCAGAGAACAGCGAGTCAGAGCATTATACTTGACACTGGTACGGACACGACGTTATCATGGTTAATTGGCCATTTATACTTGCACGTTCGGTGGGTCCCGTGTAAACGAAATGTTCAAAAATTTGTCCCGACCCGTGTAAACGGGATCTTATTTTTTGTACTTAGCCTCGTTTTGAAAGTGAGAGTTTTTGGAACTCGGATTTGGCCTATTCAGGTCTTTTTAGCTCTTAAGCGGAAAAGCTATTTTCTCAAGTGGCTCCGTCGTTGTTAGATAACTTCCTCTTCGGTTTTAACGCCAGCGATGGCTATAAAACTTTGGGAAGACCTTCAGTTATCATTTGGCAATAATATCAGCCATTGCATTCATTGCATCCCACACTATTGTCTTTCCGTTACTATTAACTAATTCCTGGCCGCTTCTCCTGAGATGGAGCGAACTTTAAGATGGATTTCTCAAATGACGATTTTCATTAAAATTTCAAAGTGGTACTCAGAAGAGTAATTAAAATTGAGTATACTAATACTCAAAGAGAATCTAGTCTATAATAATTCCCTTTAAAAATATTTCAAAACGCGAAAGTCACTACCAATGTGTTTTTGAAGGGGATTCGCTGTCCGACGAGGAAGCTAAAGATGATGAAGACCTTAGTGAGGCCGAAGAGTCGATTGTCATGTCACAAAGGGTCTGGGACGATATTGAACATCACTCGCTGGGATCTAGGGAGGAACAAGTGGCAGATGAACAAGGCAATGGGGAGGCTTCCCAAAGGTAACATCATTTCACTAGCGTTTAATTAAGGGAACCCTTTTATTAAACAAGAAAGGTTAAACATCGTTCCAATCTGAGTTTTTAAAGGGGCTATGTCTCGAGGATATTGCTGTTTTGGGTCAATTCTGTGCTGAAGTCATTTCTTATTTCCTTTACGCACACACAAAATACTCCTGCAGAGTGTTAAAGAAGATAGAGTGATTGTCGTATGACCATGAAAAATGGTTGCGGTAAGTGTTCGTCATTTGTTTTATCAGCCAGTGGATAAAAAGATCAAAACATGGACTCTCCGTTCTCCCGCCAAAGAAACCCCAAATATGGATAAGGCATTGTTCGATTGGCCAATCGTGTTGCAGTAAGACGTCAAAGCCAAGTATCGATTTATTTCTAGAATACTTAAAGCATTGTCACATTCTGTTTTACACTTTTCAAGGGCAAGGATGTAACACCAAAGACAATCTCTTATAAGAGCCCGTGAAACTAAATTTTAAATTTCACAGGAATTGAGGAAACACAGGTAAATTCGTCATGCGTAAGACTCCATTTAGTGAAATTTGAAGCTTTTGAAGTTTGTTTTTTGGGCTCCCATAAGAATATTTTCTTCGGAGTTATTTCATATAATATTTCATACAGTGTAAAAAAGAATGCAATATGCTTGAAATTATTCTGGTACAAGGTTTTTGTCCACTGAAAATTAAAATTACTCAATATCCTAATGGATAACGTCTTAAAAAGATAGCAATGGAGTAGCCTCCCACGCAAACGTTCTTTTGGCTCGTCACGCAATCCTCCCCAAACCGGGGAAGGAACGTGTGACGAAACCCGAAGAACGTCTGTGTGGGAGGCTACAAATGGCGTGACATAACCCCTTAAACTTGTTTATAGGGCGCCTCAGTTCAACTTGGAAGGAATGTCCGATACGTGGATTGGATCATTCTTAGAAGGGGACATACCTCAGTTAGATGGAGCGGCGGATGAAAGCTCTGATGGACATGAGGAATTGAGAAAAAGGCGGAAAAGATTAGGCATGGGCAGAACGAAAACGCGATTAATTAGTGAAAGTAAAAAGCCTGGAGTGTCCGCCGGGAATGAAATACCTTTGACTGAACCATTACACTCTGAAGCGTCGGAAAAAAACTCAGATCATGGTGAAAGTGCTAGTGAAATGGCTTCAGAATGCAGTGATGCTTCTGAGGAGATAAAACGGTCTGTCAGCGAAGATGTTTGGCCTAAAAAAGGAAGGGCGATTCGTACCTATTCAAAGAGAACCAGATCGTCATTGAAGGTTCAAAAGTCACTAAGATTAAGTGAAGAAAAGGATCAAAAGATGGAGGAAGAGGAAGTAGTTGAGTTTAAAACTGAGGAGGCGGAGAAACCGGACCTTGAGGACACATTCAGGTTGTTTCTAAGTGAATCGAGTGGTTCTGAAGATAACACAACAGGAACTAATTCAGAGCCAGAGAAAAGTGAACCATCTTCGAGTAAGCAAAATCGTAACCTTGATGTCAAGGAGGTGAAAGCAAGAAAATTATCTACGGTGAGGAAAGGCAGAAATGCAGTGAAGTCTAATTTTGGCTTAGAGGAAGAAACGGAAGTGGTGAAGCAGAAAGATCTTAATCTTGAGGTAGAAAAAAGTGACCAGATAAGTCAACGTCACATAAAACACTCGGTTTACTTCCCATAACACAGGCAGTGCCTTCCACTAGCTCTTTAGTGCAAAAATGTTCGCGCAGAGTTACTCTGCGTAATAGAAAACTATCAGATATAGAGAAGAAAGAACTAAAACTTGGTAAAGGAAAGGCAGCTTGCGAGAATAAGCTGAAAAGTGATTTAGTTTCGCCTTTGAGTGCCATAAGCCGAGCTATGCCAAACCTAAGAGTGTCCTTAGAGGATGTTTCTCAATCACAAAAGCTTGACTCAAAATTTAGCGAAGCTCGCGCTCGTTTGAGGCACAATAGAGAAACGCCGCATCAGAGCTATACACTTAGCGTAAACCAGGTTTTGAATAGTCCGGTTGCAAAAGAGAGACCTTTGCTGAAACGTTCTCCTGTGGTAACGAGAACCAAAGAAAGGGCTCTTTTGTTAAAGAGGACTTCTCCAAAACGAAAAGAGGAGAAAATGAAAAAATACGGAACGCTACCTGTCGTGATTGCCAAGTCACCTAAAAAGAGCCCCGCTGATAATAGTCAAGTTTCACAGGCGTCACCAGCAAACCGACAAATTGGAACTGACTCCCTTATACGTACGTCGCAGATTTACGAGGACCCTGCTGTTTCGACAGACGTTTTCAGCAGTGTACGGAAAGGAGGAGGTAACTCTTCGGGATCTGCCTCGTCCCGAAGTCGCACGCTCGGGTCTGTTGACAACAATGATGAAACTTTTCAGCGATTTATGGAGTGTTCCTCATCTGAACCTCCCGTTACATCTGTTACATGTTCTGGTGGTGACGGGAAAATATCCCGCCACAGAACGGGATCAGTCCCGTCCCGCCAAGTATCCCTTAAATTGACTAATAGAAGTGGAGATACTCGTCGGACCCTATCACTTGAAAGAAAAGGTCTCAAAAGGAAACTTAAGGTTGACTTCCAGGGACAACAAACACCTGTACGTGACTTGCCAGGCTCTGGAAAGAAAAGAAAGCTTTCATTAACACTGAAAGCAAGTTCAATTTCTTTTCCAAGGATGGATGATGTTAGTGAAACTCGTGTTACTTCGGACGAAGAATACGTGGTCAAAGAGGGAAAATCTGTTTTTAAAGATCAAGACAATACATCTAGCTCTCTACAAATTCAACAAGCTAGGGTTGACACCGTCTCCGATGATGGAGGTTCAGACTTAAACGGAAAAAAGGAGTTTGCTATGGACAGAAGTCTGTTGGATGTCAATGTAACTTGTGTTCCTTCAAGCCCTGGAGAGCCTAACTCGGGTGATGAAGTTTCCCCCAAATGTTCCAATTCTTCTTTGGCCGTGACTGGCTCCGATTCCCTCTCTGGCTTTACAGAGGCTTGCCCTTCGAACAGCAAATCTCCAGACATTTTAAAGAGCCAACCTTTTTTTAAAATGGGACTGAAAACAACAGTTAACGTATCTAACGACGTGGAGCTGGTGTCTCAAGAATTTGATTTTCCAAATGAAAAAGACACTGAACTATTGGCTAACGCACTGTTTAATATGTCTTTCCCGTCACCTCTCCCCTGCGTAGAAGAATGTTGCTCTCCTCCCTGCCCCTCGTCACCCCTGAAAGCGAACTGTCATGAATGGAAAGGAAATCAAGTTTTAACTGTTAACAGTAGTTGTGCTGAAGAAGGCAATGCATTAGAAGTCGAAGAAGCGAACGAGTCTCCTGAGTTTTCTTATTTAGACCAAGTTAAAGAATCTCAATCTAGTCCTGTAGTTCACAGTGTGCTGGAAGGATATGCTGTCGTTTCCACTGGTCCTCAGCTCGGGGAAACGCAATCTCACGGCGATAACCCCGAAGTTGAAATAGCAAATTATGTCGGTCAGAGAATCAGTGAAAAGGAGACTAGAGGCCATGAAGAATCTTTCAAACCACTTAGAATCCCCATTAACAGAAGCGACCTTCGTTCGAACGGAGAAGAATCTTTCGAGAGAAAAGGTGCGATAGGGGGAGGCGAAGACAATTCAGAGTCTTCAATTACAGGGAACAATTGTTGTAAAAGTAAAATTGTTACTGGCAGCGAATCGAATGAATCACCTGGCTTAATGGCTCGAGATTCAATCGTAATGCCACCATTTGACACTGAAATGACTGATTTACCTGATCTTACTGAAGCTGAGGAACCAAGCAAACTAAGTTTAGAAAACGAAATTTCGATCGACGCACGGCAATCGTCAGCACAAGGTAATTCAGACAACAACGAAATGGAAATGTTCTTAGGCGAAGGTAAAGAGGAACAGGTCAAGAAAACTTCCTTCAAAATTCCAAGCGCCGAGAAAAGTGATTTTGTTTTCAAACTAAGTTTGGAAGAAGAAAGTTCGAACGAGGCACAACCACTGTCAGCGCAAGGCAATGCGGATGACAACGAAATGGAAATATCCTTAGGTGAAGGTAAAGAGACACAGGTCGAGAAAACTTCCTCAAAACAGCTAACTAGCACTCTTGCTGCTAAAATTCCGACAGAATCCTTCAGAGACTGTAAGGAGCAAACCTTAAGTAAAGTACTCTCTGTCTCTGCGGGCGTCAATGACGCTGGTAGCTGCAGAAATCGTGTTGTCATCAAACCTTTGAAGGAGCCGCCGAGTTCCGAGGAATTGCTGAGCTCACTGACGAAATACGGGCTGCCACACTGTAAATATCAAGAGCCATTTTGCAGTAACCCGGACGATATCCCAGCATTGCCCAGGTCAGTTAAGTTCAACTTTATAGTTAAACCACTAAGACTCCATTCCAACGCAAAAAAGTCAACGAAGTTATTGCTAGCAGGGTCTCTTTTAAGATATATTTAAAATGTCAAGATATATTTATAATTTA